GCACGAGACAGTATGTCGTCCATGTCGGTTCTTATGCTTCGTAGGATGGCCTGCAATGTGTGCATGTTTAAAAGCAAAAAAGCATCAAATCTCAAAAATACTACACCAAGAGAAGAAGAAGAAGAAGAAGCGGTACGTACCTTAATACTGCGTATCAACTCAAAGAGGACACGTGGGCGGAGGTCGGGAAGATTGACGTGGACATCGTCGATGACGGAGGCGAAAAAGCTGTAGGAAGAATCTCTGACCATTATGCACTTGCATATCAGGTAGTAAGCAAACCAGGGCAGCAGAGACTGCTGCTTCTGCTGCTGCTGCTGCTTCAGCAGTCCACACAGCTCCTCATATTCCTTCTCGACATTGGCGTTCGAAATATTGTGTAAGAGGAAGCAAATTCTATTGCAGATGACTTCATCGGGGGCCTCAGGTGGAATGTACTCCTGGCTTACAATCCCGGGTGCAGGCTGCAGATTATGCGACTGTAAATCCTACAATCGTCAAGGCAGAAGCATCTGGCTTGAGCTTATTTTCCAATTTCCAACAGCTTATTTACCAAATAGGAAGCGTATGCAGGAGTTTCCAGTGCGGTTTGAAAACCACACCGGAGCCAGTCGACCTGCACTGACAAGGACAACGAAAAGCAGGAAACAAGACTGCAGATGGTGTGAAGTTCAACCGATTTATTGGCACAGAAGTGGCATTAGTGTACAGAAGAGTAAGTAGTTAGCTTATAAATGAGTGCTTAAAATTGATGTCCAAAACGAACATAGCTGCGCAAAGAGTATTCAAGTAGATAACCCGATTTCGTGTTCGCTCATGCCTGCTAACGATACTCACTCACTGGTCGCCTTGACTTAATTCCGGTCTTGTAAGAATTCACGATTTGAGGTGCTGATAGGACGTGGGAAAGAGACCCTTCACCACCGGTTGTACCGAGATGGTAGCACCTCGGTGGCAGACGCCGACACACGCAACGAGGGCACTGATTGTTGTGAGGCGCCGGCCGTGAAAGTATGTTGCGAAACAAAGGTGGCTGCCGCTACGACATCAGGCTAATAACAGTGTACTGGCCATCATTCGCAGGACACAGTGCTCGAAGATGGTGACAAGGAACACTA